AATGTCTCAATTCCGGTGGCGAATATGTTGAAAAAATAGCTGGACACTTGCTGTATCTGTTGCAATAAATATTTCCATGAAATTGTGTTTTGTTTCTGTAAACGGCCCCAGGGAAACTTACTTTGTGGACGAGCCTCGTATTACCTTGTATTTGCCTGTATGTAGCTGTCCTTTATTTTTCATTAACTACAACAATTTATGCCAGATGTCTATTAAAAACGCACCGATACATACATACTCGTAAGTTGTTCCGAGAAGTGTCACCACTCAACATTAACTACTGAAGTTCATCAATAACTTGTGGTAGAGGAAAATAAACCAAAAAGTAAAACAAATCGTCGAAGGAAATGGAATATCTAGAAACAGAGTTTGCTTTGAAATGAAACGCTTTGCATTAATCACACAATTCATTCAGAGGATCATCATTATGGAAACAATATTATTTCCATCACCAATCTTGTTCTTAAGGTGCTATCCCTGCTTACACCACACACATATAGCACAGAAGCAAGTTCTTTTACCCTGGAGTCAGTCGCACTGCGATAAACTCCACCACATGAATAACCTTTTGAATCCAATGTACGTACACTTCCAGTTGGGAGTGGTCTCCTACATGGTGATGCCATGCAGGCTTATGCAGGTGATTACCGACGTTTCAACGCAATGTTATTTCATCCTGAAGATTGAGGTGATCTTTTCCTCCTGAACACAAATAACCACCTACAAACCCACATGGTGTCACAAGCCAGACCACCACCACCGCCGCCACTGACATCATCATGACCGTGATAACCTTCAATATCGAAGTTCCATAGTTACTTTCGATTAGCAAAAAATTGCTTATAAAGTATGCATAGATTCTAAATGGTTATTTTCAAAAGAAAAAATCTTCAACATCTTTAAATTATTTCACATTAAATTTTAAAAACTAGCTTCACACATTCACATGCAACATTACAAACATTCAAAGGATGGGAAAAAAAATATATTTAAACAAAATACTGTCCTGTCCTGTCTATGATCCAAAGAAAACAAAACTTATATGAGTCACAAATTACAAAGAATCATATTATTCATGGAAAAAATTTGTGCAACATTTCTTTTCTAAACTGTTTAGCCCCATGCTGTGGAAAAGAGATCTGACATGCGAGAGAACATGAATGACAATAACGAGGTTACAAAAAGTTAGTGACAGAGAAGCATGAAGACTGACGATGGAGAAAGTAGCAATAGTAGTTTGGTTTATTTTTCATGTGCAAGGCACAACTATTTGCACCTTATTATGGTGTTTCTAGTACATTACAACAAAACTATTTGTTAGTCTCGATTAAAAAATGTTACACGTCTCTCCAATAGCATTACCAGAAATATAAACAAATACAGCAGTGGTTCATAGACTTTATAGTAGAACTATACCTTGTCCACAGAGGGTAGTAATTCTTTTCTTTAAAACACTGTACAAGTATTGTATTAATCTATTTGCATTGCTTTTTGCAAAATGCACGATAAGTCAGACAAGTTCAAATATATGGGACCAACAGCAACACATCAAAATCACATTAATTAATAAATTAAAAGCAGATGAAGTTTAGGGAATGCTTTACACCATTCAGATCAGAATAATGTCTTCCCATCTGCTATCTAAAAACGTAAAGATTACAACGTACAAAACTATATTTTAACTTTTTCTGTGGGTCTTAAAACTGGTATATAACCTCAACGGAAGAACACAAGACTAAGGGTATAATGAATTCTTCTCGGGCCATCAGCCATGTAACGTGTTCTCCCCATTAAACCACCTGACACGGCTGGTAGCCCGAGAAGAATTCATTATACTCGGTCACGATGAAAGCTTCAGATCGTACACAGACCAAGAGTTTTTGAGAACGGGTTGTGCAGGATAAAACATGGACACATGCAGAAGGATGTAACAAAGGCCGAAGAAAATTACATAATGAAGTTTTATAATTTGTTCTTCACCATAAATACTGAGTGTGAACCCTGGAGACAGAGGTGATATGTTCCTCCAAAACATTGGTAACCACCCACAAGGTTACATGGCATCATAACCCCAAAGACCACATGTGACAAATTTTCGCCAAAGAAAGATACAAAACATTGAAGTGGCCATGTCGTATCAGAGATCTATAATCAATATCACTTGTCTAAAATACATTTACGTAATAACTTAATGGCATTAATGACTACTGATAAAATCTTATGTTGCTGAATTTCAAAAGGCTATCAAACACCAATAAATCAGCCGACCAATGAACTACATCGAAAACATACTGTGCAATTAAGAACATTAATAAAGGTCAAAAAGAGATTCTCGACACATATCATCGAAAACATACTGTGCAATTAAGAATATTAATAAAGGTCAAAAAGATATTCTCGACACATACATCAAAGAACAATTTTGTAACTTTCTGACCTGAAACTTCCATTCAATGCTACACGACTTAATACTTACTTTCATTTCACGTTCATTTCTTATGGTGCAAGTCCAAACTACCTTGATGTCATTTCCACACATTTTAATATTTTCCCACTTCAACAGTTCAGATCTTTTTCTCGCAAAGAGACGCACGGAGATATCACCAAAATGAATTTTCAGGAGCAATCATCACAGGAAAGAGTACATTTGCAAGCAATATTCTAACAAGTTTTAGGACAAGAACCATAGAAATTTGCTCATAACATAAATTTTTCATTTCTCAATCTTTTCCATTAAATTTGCACCATTATCTAACATACATACATAAGCCATGCAACATATAACTGCACCTGCTTCACGTCTGCTATTCATATGCCAAATCATATAAAATCACGGAACATACCATAATTACTACTCTAAGTAACACACAAAAATATATAAAACAGCCACCTGTGAAAAATGCCAGGTACGTTCTACAGTAACAACTGCTATATGTAATACTGTGTGCCAAGTTCATGCCAAGTTGAACTCTTTCAACGCATTTTGCATGATTGTATCCTTAACAGCACAAAATACAAGCTTTATATTTTCAGTATCTGTTTAAATTTAATAAAAATAAAACAGTAACATTTCCAGTTTAACAATCCCATGATGCATTATTGGAATTTATATTTGGTAACGTTGGCATAACCACACAGTAACGTCAATCCATTTCCAGAAACATAGCAGCATGCAAAGAAAGAAAACACACACATTAGGCAATCAACAGCATCAAATCACATGCCACAATCTGTACAGTTTGCATATCTTTGACCACCGAGACCACACATTTATACAGCACGACTGCTTCTGAAATTTAAGATGGAGGCTGAACATAGGGCAGTGACTTTGGAATTAAACTTGGCCCATCTTACAGTTTAATCGTGTACAATGACATTTTTGGAAGAAATTAAACTACAACTTTCTTACGAGCATTATTCTTCTCAAACTGACACCTTAACGAAAGGTACAGTTTGACCACATCTTCTGTAGACTGTTCCAAAACCAACCTCCCTCCCCCCAAAGCAGAGTGAGGTTTATGGGAGGAGGGGGGATGCTACAAAAATGCTGAAGAAGTCATGCATGGATAATCCACAAACTGGATAATCGGTGAACAGGTAATCATGAGTCCACTATACTTAATTTCACTCAGTACCAACATTATTTTTATTTAGTGTTCTGTCTGACGACAGGTCCATATGAACAGGATCCTTCCATCCTTTTCTCGGACTGGGACCTGTTCATATACGTTCTTGGCAGATGATCCAGAAGTGGTTTGCCATTGCCTTCTTCTGCGTGTGAATGGAGTAATTGTTGGGATGCCACGGAGAAACCGGGGAAGCCCCCGGAGGAAAACTCCCGTGTTGCCTAGACCACAGCCTTGCCCAACACAAGTTATAAATTCGGGCACCGCCGGGAATCGAACCCGAGACCCCACGACAACAAGGCCAGCATTCTAACCGCTAAACCACCGTGGCTATTACCAACATTATTATATAAATTTAATTTTTGTGGGTTTGTAACAGTTTTACATGCACATCATGCCTTTTTAGGAGAAATATAAGTGCTGATGTAAAATCAATCTACCGCTCACAGTTACGAGATTCTTGTGTAGTAATTTTACTGCACATCACACATGCAATGTAATAATTTGTTTACTTTGCATTGATTTTTATACGTACAATGGGTCTTAAGGAACTCAGATGTAGGGAGCGGACCAGATTCTTATGACTTATGGTCGGGACTGGTGGCGGGCTGTGAAAATGGTAATGAACCTTCAGGTTCAAACAGGGACGTTCTTGATTAGCTTGATTCTCAAGAAAGTTTATGCTCCACGGAGTTCTTTTCTTCTGATATTAATTCCGCATCAAGGATGTCGACTCAAGACGCAGCGTTCAATACATCATAAGCCAAAGATTTAAAACAAACTATAAACTAGCACATTATAATTCCACAGAAGTAAGTAACTGTTCTTTTCATATTACAAATCAAGTTTTATTTTGATAAGATTTCATCTTATGTGTGAGACTAAAAATCCGTATGTCTCCATGACTAGCACTCCATATTAGTCAACATCTTTCACAGCTTACAGATGAATATTTTTCTTGTGTAACCACACAAAATGTATGAAATGTGATGTACTTTTACACAACAAAATGTAAGCAGCAGCTTGAGTGTTTTGTATGATGTTAGGCACCTTTTTCATACAACACTTATAGCGATAACATTTCCTTCCTACAATGTGGTGCCATCATGCTTCAAACTAATGGATGCAGCACAATTTATATTCAAATATTAACACTAAGTATGTAGAGTAGCGGCAGTGTAAAATCAGCTTTCCTTGTGCCTACAAAGAATGTCTAAAAATGTAATATGAAGGACACGGAATCAAGACCAAGTCTTTCTATTGTCAACGGGTAAGCCTTACGGGAAAATTCTGCAGTGCTCATAAAATGAAATAAGTACATCTGTGGTCAAAGTTGCAAACATCCAGTGTTGTGGCATGTTCAGTAATTAGTACCTGTTGCGCAGGTAAAGTGCGAGTAGATGATTTTCTCGCTGTCAGGGTTCAGATCCACAAACATCCTCAGGATAAATTCACGAGCTGCAATTGCATCCCTCTGGGGGCCTACAAAGCAGATAAGCAAGGAATAATTACACGATAGCATACACTTGTAACATACTTTCCTATCATCTGATCGAAATCAGGCCTCAGCTGTAACACAATAAGGAAATGAACAAAATGTTTGTCAGTTTTCTTACAGATGTCTTAAACATGAATTTATCAAGAAATTGTAAGTGCGCGTTCATTATTGTTGGTTCTGTCTGAATTCTTCATCCTGTTAATCAATCACAACTAAAATTAATTAAAAATAATGCAAAGAAAGTGTGACATGAAAAAACAAAACCCCAGGACCCGTTTGTGTGCAAGCAAACACAAATCAGATAAGGTTATAGTACCAGACATTATATATATATATATATATACGAGGCGCGTCCTCAAAGTAAGTTTCCCACTCGTCCCACAGCTAGCAAACCTTATATTGCACGAAGCGACTGTGCGTACGTGATAGAGCAATGACGTAGCATGGCGCATGCACTAACGGCACCTCCCGCGTTCTCACATTAGCATCGTTGCAGCTGTTGAAGATGGAGGTTCTTATTCCAGCTCCCGCCGACTGTGAAGTGCGGTCAGTGATAACGCTAGGCCGCACACGGCTCGACGGACAGCAAGTCTCCTGCAGGAGTTCAGCTGGGAGGTGTTTAATCATTCACCCTACAGACAGGGATTCCAAAGTTGGTCCCACGGTATGACAAATGTCTCAATTCCGGTGGCGAATATGTTGAAAAATAGCTGGACACTTGCTGTATCTGTTGCAATAAATATTTCCATGAAATTGTGTTTTGTTTCTGTAAACGGCCCCAGGGAAACTTACTTTGTGGACGAGCCTCGTATATACACATACACACTTACCATATATTTTTGATTCACTGAAACATATGACAGAACATGGGACATCTAGAAACTGTGCCAGCACAGATATTTTGTCTCTTCATGCCAAGAGTTACCAAGTTACGAACAAAATTCTCGATCAACTACTGACATTATAAATCTGCAGTGTAACATGAGAAAATACAAGCAAATTATATGTGCTTTCACACATCCAGGGTTTTATTTTACTATCATGAAAACATCAATAATCTATCAACGGTCAAAATTTAAATTCTGTAGGATTTGAGGTTTTGACGGCGGTGATTCTGAAGATTGCTGTCTTCTGGGTTGTTGTGCTGTGTACTCTGGTGGACATCTACCAGACTACACGGCGCAACAACCCAGAAGACAGCAATCTTCAAAATTTAAAGCCTATTACCTGCATCAAATCTAAAGACTTACCAGAGAATTTGATGCAGATTATAGGATTCCCATCAAAAAATTCAGTGTAACATAAAAATTGTGATTGTCAATAGTGTTTCTCGTTTTACATTTTCATGTGATGATTCAAATGATGCATAATGAGAGTCACCCGTATAAAATGTGCTGCAGAACAGCAATTCTTCCAAAGATATCTGCATGAGCAGACATCTCTCCAATCATACACAGAAGGCACATAATCAATTTTAACAGTTCGATATCAGTGTTAAAACGGGAGCGTGGCTAAGTAGGTCTCAATTAAAACAGAAACTGGAAACGATATAATTAATATTTAAACTACATTTAGACAGTTACGGAAAGTGTTCACAGTTGACATTACCAACAAGCACTTTCAGTTTGAAAACTGTTAATTAATTACCAAAGTCTAAGAGTTAATTATATTTTTAAGGTTACGGGTAAAAAATTATGGTGCTAATGGCGAACACGGTATACAATATCTAGTAAGATATCAAAATCTACTAACAAAGCATTTGGCATGTGTGTGTATGCACCACCTACCAACATTTGAAAATATCCCAATAAATACTGAGCACGGAAACAATTACCAGTTAGTTTTACTTAAAAGATTTTCCAATGTTCCAACTATCAGCGATACTGCACTTGTACACATATTCAACTTGTATCTTCATACGTCTGTGCAGACAACAACCGTCTTGGCACCGTTACTCTACCGTGTTTGGGTTCCTGAGCTACAAAAACCATCCTCACCCAGACTCAAACCCAGAACACTGCTTCATAATTTTTACCTTTCTAAAGCCTCTTTCTGGTTTCAAGGCCACATCTGGGGGAAAAGTGATGTACGTGTTCTCAGACTACAAGTGACCACAGACACCCACAGTTTAAATTTTATATAAGTACATTAACTGCAATTTTATCGCACACTACAATGCATATAGTTGCTAAGCGTAACAGGTTATTTCTATGATGTGGGATGACTTATCTCTCCATTTATGCATATTCTACTTTGGTAGCTATGAGAGTCGGGTGGTAGCTCAGATTTATAATCGGACTTTCCTGCTAACTAAAGATTCTACAGCTTATACAGGTTAAACTCACATTTTTGAAGTGGTTATGTTGCTGTAGTTGTACGAAACACACAACAGTGAAACTACAAGATTTTCAAAAAAATCTCTTGTTACAAATCATCCACTAATAAATTGAATTATCTGTACTTCGCTAATGGGAACTAAAATAATAAATAAACGTGATAATGAAGGATTTTAGCAACTACTTATGGCTTAGCAACGTCCTATACTGATGAAAGTACATAATGGAATTCAGGTTTTGAAACAATGTCCACATGGTGATATAAACTGTCTAAGTCAAGAAATCTTTGTCCTGGTCAAGCCAAATAACACTTTCTGCTCATCGCAATGAACACAGCCGCAGACGTGAAAAATTACTATTATCAGCTGGATTTCTTCTTTATTACGCCGTCTCCTTTACAGGAGGTTGGCGACATTATGAACAGGATCCTTCCCTCCTTTTCTCGGACTGGGACCTGTTCATGTACGTTCTTGGCAGATGATCCAGACGTGGTTTGCCATTGCCTTCTTCTGTGTGTGCATGGAGTAATTGTTGGGATGCCACGTAGGAAAACTCCGTGTTGCCTAGACCACGGCCTTGCCCAACACAAGTTATAAATTCGGGCACCGCCGGGAATCGAACCCGAGACCCCAGGATTACAAGGCCAGCGTTCCAATCGCTAGACCACCGTTGCTCGTTTCCAAGAGATATCAACAGTTATATCCTCGGAGCTTATATGCGACACAGTTTGGTGCATTTGTGGACATAAAATACCATAGCAGCAAATTTTACAGAGAATAAAAACAAACCACAAATTTCAAGGAAAAACAAGTAGAGATAACAGCAGCTGGGATTTACGTTCTCACATCGGCGGTCCTCTGGACTGTCTGTTAGGTGGCTCCTAAGTTTTGACAGAAACGTACAACCTTCACGGTTGAAGACCACGCTCAACAGACAAAAATATGATAAAACACCAGCAGGGAAAAGTACAAAATGCCCTTGTATACACGTGTTTCAATTGGAAAATTCAAAATGTGGTTGAAATTATGTTGTGCTCATCTCCTCAGTTGTAACTCAGGTTAATTTATATATCTGTGGTGTATTTAAATGAAGTGTCTAAACCATCTGCAGTACTTATGTCATTTTTCCATTATAACGTTCCTTGAGTTCATGTTTGACGTGTACATGGTATATATGAAATTTTAAAATCTTTGTAGCCTTACGTACACTTTCACAGGACAATCCACTCCAAAAAGAAAGTTCTCTCAGCGACGTTCCTGAGGAGCAAAAGAGTGTTTGACGGACAATGTCCAAACTTTAGTCACTTAACACAAACAGCCACCTGGAAGTTTTTCTGTAACGCAAGCTTCCTGTGTCACAGAAACAGTTGATGTAAATTTGTTTGGTGCAGGAGAATCAAGAAATATATCCCCAAACTCATTGCGGCAATTAAGAACAAGATTCCAGGCAACATTAAAAAAATAACACTAATTGCACTTGTGAAAAAAGACACCTCTGGGTTTTAACTGCTCGAAAGAAACACTGGACTGGCGTGAGCAGGTTAGAACTTGGTGTAACCCACATGGGCTCATTTTGTTTTGCCTTATATAATGAAACTAGATTTTATTAAACTGTAACCATCTACACATATTTTAACGTGTGTTGTGTAATTATTTT